TTTCCAACCCTAACTATTCTATGATTAATTATTGGTCTTATGCTAGGAATTCCTCTGAGTGGCTTTCACTTCTGGTCTGATCCCTCAAATTTATTCTTAGCCTTTTCCTGATCTTTCCTTTAACAAGTGTTTAATTGCTTTAGAGGATTTCTCTTATTGCTCTTTGTTATGAAATAAAATGTAATTCCTTTTTGCAGCTGCTAAGCTATGTTCCTTTATCTTCCTTCTACATACCTCTGTTTAAAGAGAAAGCATTAAACTCCTGTTTGCAAGACTGAAACTGGATTATTGAGCTATTGATACATTCTGATGAACGATCATGCAAGCAGAAAGCATGAGCAATACTGTTTGGGATCTCCATGCTGCCACTCGTCTGATCTTTCAGTTATAAGAGACCCTTACAGGAAGAGTCAGTGATTTTCTTGACTTCTCATCGCAGAACAGTTTGGCATTGTTACACACTGATCCTTCACAAGATTGATCATCTTGCATCCCTGCTGTAATAACTGTGACAAGTGGCAAGGTCCTGCTTACTTTCAAGAGTAACCAGGAACTGTAAATGCACCATATTTTTAATCATCGTTCCTCCAGATAAAAGTCTTGATTTTTAAACAAACTCTGCAAGAAATATGTGGCACTTCTCATTAGATGTATGTTCTTGTCCATCCTTATCCATGTTATTCCTGTTAACAGCAGTTGCCAGGATCACAGTATTTGGCACTGAGCCCCAGAGCTCTTCTTGACCTGTGAATTCTGTGTAACTATCAGCTCAGTGTGCACTTGCTCATGGTTCGTGCTAGCATCAGAATGGCCAAGTATAATGTATCATTAACATGGTGTGTCAGTTGACCTAGTGTGCCTTTGTGATCTTATTTCCTATGGAAGAACAATTTGTGGCTTTCTCTGTGTTATAACTGCATACAATTGGATGGAAAAGATAGGAAAACAAAATACTGTTAACTCTAAGTAGAGTTACTCAGTCTCTCAAGGGTTTGTTTTCTCAGCTGGGCTTGAATCTTGTTGCCCATTCTCAGTCCTTCAGGATGAAATGCTTCATTTGCTTGGAATGTTAGATGTGTCTTGTCTTTTTATGTGTGCCAGAAAAGCCTTCAAAGAAGGTTACTTGCAGATAGATATTTTTAAATTTTTTTTTTAGTATTTTAGGCAGGGAAGTTGATTGTATGGGTATTTTTGAGTGCCTAGGTGTGTAGCAACCTTTTATGACATTTCCTAAGATAGAGCTGCCTGTAGTTACGTGTAAGCCTGTATGTGCAGTCATTGTTTATGGATAATGAGGCCTGGTTTGGATCTATAACTTCTGCAGTAACATGGATGTTAAATTTAACTGGAATTGAACTGCAGGAAAGGAAGTGAGGACATTTGAGTTGATTCTGATGGCTTTGCAAATCATCTTACAGTTTGAAAATGTTTCTGAGAATACGTAATGCAGTGGCCTGCTCTTGGGTACTGTTTGGTTTTGGGGTTCCCTCAGTATAACAAGCTGAGCCAGAGAAAGGTTTTGTAGATTGGGATGAATTGGACTCAGGATGGTGTTGGTGCAGCGTCCAATTTGGTGCCTTATATATAAATATATTTAAAAATATGCATATATACTGCCTGAAGAAAAACAGTGCTATTACATAGGCATATTTTGCAGATGCCATGTACTCTTCAGAGCTGATAAATCTCTGTTTGGCGAGATCTAAATAGGAAAGCTTGGTGCTTAGTGTTCCTTAATAATAGCCCCAAGAGAGGATGATGTAGTGCTTGCAATTGAGTCCTCTTACAGCCAGGTTTCTAGGCTGTTTACTAAGTGGCTATTCTTTTAACTGAGTTCCTTTTGCCAGGCAGGCATTGTTGGATTTTTGTGTGAAAAGGGGAAACACAAGCATGTGAATCGGTAGTAAACCAAAAGCGTTCTGATTCTTGCCCACGTTATGAGAGTGGGTTTGTCATGTTTAATGTGGCTTTGAGAATGTATCAATCAGTTGGTTCTTTTTCAAATGCAAAGACACATATTTTTCCCAATATGAGATGTTTGCAATTGTGTAAATAGAAGTAGTTGAGGTTTCCAGTTTTCAAATTAGGTTTAATGTTTTCAAGTTAATCTCTTAAAAACAAGCCAACAAGGGCTGGAGCACCACTCCTATAAAGACAGGCTGAAAGACCTGGGCTTGCTCAGAAGAGAAGCTTCCAGGGAGACCCTAGAGCAGCCTTCTAGTACCTTAAGGGGCTGACAAGAAATCTGGAGAGAAACTTTTTACAAGAGCATGTAGGGATAGGACAAGGGAAAATGGCTTTAAATTGACAGAGGGTAGATTGAGATTAGCCCTTTACTGTGAGGGTGGTGAGGCATTGGAACAGGTTGCCCAGAGAAGCTGTGGTTGCCCCATCCCTGGCAGTGCTCAAGGCCAGGTTGGACAGGGCTTGGAGCAACCTGGTCTAGTGGAAGGTGTCCCTGCCTATGGCAGGGGGTTGGAACTAAATGTCTTTAAGTCCCTTCCAACCCGAACCGTTCTATGAAAACATTTTCAACAGCTTGTTGCAAACTCCTTAACTAACTACTATGAACTAAAAGTGAAGGCAACTTCATGGCTGCTTTTGTGGACTTACATCAAGTTTTGGAACAGACTTGTAGTTTCCTTTGCTAACACTGAGTTGGGATTGAGAATTGGAATTTTCTGAATGCTGCATAAGAAGGAAAATGTTAGAGGAAGCGTTGAGTCTGCTTCAGCTTGTATTTTGTCTCTTAGTGTGAGTCATGGATAAAGTGCTCCAGGTGAAAGGAGAATTTTGCTTATAGTGACAGTGGTATCATCAGCCAGGGATCTAGCAAATATTGTGAAGCAATATTTACTTGCTGTAAGTCTAGTCTATCTGTTCAGGGCTTCTGTGGTTGAATGTTTTGATAAGCTTTCTTTTTCCCACTAATCCGTGTGAGGTATCTGGATGCAAAAAGAGAGGCTAGAGTTTCCCAAATGCCTTGTGCTGCCCTGTAGAAGCTAATGCATTGAATGTATTTTATTTTATTTTTTAAGGTGTTTCAGTTAACTAGTTGTAAAACAGCCAGTAACCCCCGGAATTTTAAATGTTCTCTTAGTCTCTTTGGCTGTTGGCTGTTAGTGGTTAATAAATAATACCCTATCAACTGCTGTATCTTTAGTACAGCATGCTTGAAGTCTGAAACTTGAATCTCTTTACTGTGTCTTCTGGGAACTGAAACAAAAAGAAATGCTCCCATGTATTGTATGGCCCTGGATGGTATCTTTGGTATTTTGAACTAAAACTTCTATGTAGTACTTTCCAGACAAAGGCAACACAATGGCACATGGCAAGTGATTCTTCCTTGTATGCGTAGCCTTCTCTACTGTTACCTATTATCTATAAGTGAGACCTCATTTTGCATTTCAGAGTTGATTTTATTGTTAATCTGAGCTTTTATCTAAAGGACAGGCATGAGTTCAGTTGCGGCGTATACTCAAGTTACGTAAAATCTCTGCCTTTTGATTCCTTAACATAGCTACCACATTAATTCATTTGCTGGAGCTGGGTTCTTTGGAGTAGAAGATCCCGGCAGCTAGATTTTTTTTGAGCAACTATGCCTAAGTTATGTTTCTTCTGCAGGACTCTTAGTTTAACATTACCTTTTCATTCAGTGTGCTTTTTATCTTGGAGAATCAAGGAAAAGACTGAGCTGAGAATGGGCCTGTTCTGCGGAATACTGAACAAAAGAATGCTGCAGTGAAGCAGTTCTTACTGCTGAAATTCTAAAGAAAATATTCTATTCATTCTGAAGTTTTAAATCAGGTTTAAAAAGTGGTTATTCCCACTCAGTTTGTAACTCTCAAGTTCATGCATCATTTTGCCTTGAAATGTTTTAAGTGCTGATTAAAGTACAGTACCTGAATCAAATTGTAAGTGTCTGTGAAGAGGTTATAAATACGTTTGTATGGAGTGAATTGCCATCACCATGTCAACTGATTTTTTTTTTTAATAAAGCAGTATATTCAGATTTAAATTCATATAATTATAACAGATTTAAATTCCTTTTTAGCTCCATTTACCCCTCAATTCCCCTCTACCTGGAAGTGAATTGACTAAGGAACCCTTTCGATGGGATCAGAGGTTATTTGCTTTGGTTCTCCGTTTGCCTGGTATTACAGCACCAGAATCGGAGCAGATGACAGGGGTACCAGTGGATGACTCTGCTATCACACCTATGTGTGAAGTCACAGGGGGTGAGTGCCCTGGTTTCCTTTGCCAAGTCAATACTTTTTGAAAATTAAAATTAATTCAATTTAAGTGTATTAATCATGTACACATTGTGGAATAAGTATTTCTAAGTTCTTATATTACTTGTAAAAACTCAGAACTCCAATATAATAAAACTAAAGACACTGCATTAAAGCTACAGACAACTTAATGTCACCTGCTTTAGAAGAGTGTGAATCTACTTTTCTTAGCAGTTTCTTAGAAGAGAAAACTGAATTTTTTCTAACACATCTTGGTATCACAGTTAAAAATTGTAAGAATTGTTGTTTCTACAGTACACTTTTGCGAAATTCCTGTCATACTGTGATCTAAAGAAGCCAAAAGTGAAGGAAATGTGTTGGGTTACTTTGTTTTTTACTCCTCCCCTTCAGAACATACAGAATGCAATGCAGAATTCCTGTAATGCAGATGCATAATAATTCTGCAAAATCAATACTTTTCTCTGCATCATAACTCATATTCTTAACCTTTTAGAAATTATATTCCAGATCAAACTCAGGCATTTATTTTATAATTTGTTTGTAGAAGTTTTTGATCACATCACAAATATGTGACTTTTCTGGTGTGTTGGAGAGGATGTGATGGAGAGCAAAGGAATTTAAAAAACATTCCAAAAGGATTTCATTCCACTGCTTTCTGACTGTCACGTCAGTCTATGATGATGGTGCTTTGACTGAAATTCGTGGACAGTTAAGTGTTGATGTCTGTCACAAGGGGGAGCCCATTTTCCATGAATGCAACCAAGAATTCGAGCTAAAGTCATTAAGGGGCTAAAGCCCGAACATTTCCAATGAGGTGCATGTAACACTCACTGCTCCACTAGGCTGCTTTTCTGCTTAAACAAAGAGGAGTGTTTGGGAGAAGCTTTAAATCAGTGATCCATACATAAATCAATGTGTATGGTGGGTGAACAGTTTTAAATGATCCAAGTTAAAAGTTAGGGATAGAAACACTGAACAACTTCAACTTTGGCTGTTTTGTTCTAGGTCGATCATATTGTGTGTGTTCTCCAAGAATGCTGAATCAGTGTCTTGAGTCATTGGTGCAAAAAGTGCAAAGTGGAGTGGTAATAAATTTTGAAAAAGCTGGACCGGATCCCTCCCCAATTGACGGTACTTGACATTTTTTACAGTGTCAGATCAAATGGCAGGGATGACTATCAATATAACTTAGTGAACTTCCTGTAATAGTTGACAAAAGGTAAAATGTTGCAGTTTAAAAGACATTACTGTAAAAAGGACCTTTTCTATCTGAACAGGTATTGTACTTTTTCAAAATCCTGGCTATAGGTGCTAGACACTATGTAAAACCTCTACATTTGGTCATGTTGCTCAGGTAGTCTTAAATGCAGGTATTCACATAAAGGATAGTTTAATGGGTTCATGAGTTTTAAGCAGTAGTTCCAGTTAGAAATGTAAATCACTTGATATGGAAATACTGTGGGTTTATACACATACCCTTCTGTTTAATGTAGTAAAGGGGCTGCATGAAGAGTTAAAATAGCAAATATGGCTGTGCAGCCTTAAATTCTCATTCTAAGTGGTTTCTAAGCTGGGCTCATCTTAGGATGTTACTATGAAGTGGTTGTGGTATTTTTTTTAATCCTGCTTTGCTGCAATAAAAAGTCTAGCAGTATTAGTCATGTGTATCTTTTTTTTTTTTGTTTGCACAGATTTGAAGGTTATCTGTTAATAACAATAGGAGGAGAAAGAAACTGATTATTAGTAAGGGCTCCAGATAATTGGCTTTTTCAGCTCTGATCCTGTAAACATTCAATGCTTATTTGGTTTCTGATAGTTTCTGGGTTTTTTTGCAGAAATGCTTACTGACAACTATCTGCTATTCTTAGAAATAATATTAACTGCAGGAAGAGCTTCCCTGGGGGCATAATTCTTAAACTCTTCACAGAAGTTGTTTAATACTCTTTCTGAGTTTTAACACTATTTTGACTCATAAAGCTTTTTTCTTCTGTAGATGGGCAGGTGGATATATCTAGACCTTTTGGACCCCAACCTTGGCACAGCTGTCACAAACTTATTTATGTCAGACCAAACCCTAAAACTGGGGTTCCTATAGGTCATTGGCCTGTTCCTGAATCCTTCTGGCCAGATCAAAATTCTCCAACACTGGTATGTACTGAAGTTAAGGCAAAGGGTTGTGCATGGGAGAATATTCCAGAATTTCCTGTTCACTGATTTTTAAATCTTGAGATATGTGCTTCATTGTAGCAACTGTAAAAGCAGTGAGACCCAAGAAGGAATGACGCTTTTAAACCAGTTTTGCAGTTAAATCAGATAAATTACTGATGAGAATATTATGAGTTTGCTTTTTAGTATCTTTGAAGCATTAAGAAGCTGCCCATAACAGATTTGTCAACCTAGTACATGCACACAGTGTTTCTGTTTGAACTCTGTTAAAATACTAAACCAGAAGTAAGGTGCCACTTTGATAATAGCCTGTCAAATTCTATTGCCTCACGGATGGTACTAGGAGAAGACAGTATTACCTTCCCAGTTTTGAATCCCTGTGGTAGCTTTGTCTTCATTCTAGCAGGTGAATGTAATTTTATCTGTTATTGTGCAGTGTAGTCACTCCTTCAACTTATCCCAAGTGGAGAAACTCAGCTTGTTTTTTAGATACTGCCCACAGAATTAATTTTACTTACATTTTTCATAAAAGAATGTAGGGCACTGTCTTTTCTTTGGTCTGAGAACTAATCATTAGTATGTATTTTTTATTTCTGCTAATCTTTGAAAATCATTGAAGTAGAAATAATGCAGTTGTATAATTGTTCCCTATATTTTATGACAATTTTAATTGAATTTTTGTAGGTTTTTTTGATCTGAAATTAGTGTGCTGACTAGCAAACTCACTGGACTTTTAATTCATTTTTTTATCTTCTTTTAAAAAAAATATGGAAGTTCTTTGAAATAATGTTGTTGAGGAGTGATAAAAGTATGAAATTTTAGTCATATTTACAGGTTTGATATTGCTGGTGTCTGTGGCCACATTCATTGAAGGACATGGATGCCTTCCTGAACTACAAGCAAGTTAGCATACATGAATAAAATTAAATCTTCTAAAGTAATTTAAAAAACAAAAAGTCATTGTGTGCTAGATATTAACAAGTTGCTCTGTATGAAAACTGTCCCATGTGCTCCATGTAATTGCTCTCAGTGGCATATCTGCCTCCATTCACTGTAGAGAGTCAGTACAGTTTGCCTGCTGCTGCAGATTTTGATCGAGATTGCTAGAATAGATCTTGCCAGGTGAAGAGTTGTTGAATTCAATCTGCTAAAACATGAGGTTGACTTGGTGAGAAGATGAGAAAAAATTCTTCTCTCAGTTTCAGCCTGTATAGTTCCCATAACTGCATAAAGCACTGGATTATTGCATATGCAGCTAAATTCCTGTTAACATCAATTGGAATTCCATATCGGACTTTCCTTATGAAATGTTGGGGCACTAAGTTTGCTGATAGAGTTTCAGTACTTCTATTTCATTAGTGTTCTGAAAACGTGGTGTTAACATTTAGCATATGCTGTAACTCTTTTCTACTTAAGAGTCATTTCCTGCCTGTTACCTGATCCGTAGTGGAGTGTCTCAAACAGTGCTACCCCGACAACTGTTTTGTGAACTGTTGGTAATAATATTATCAACTATCATCGGGAGATCAACATGTGAAATGGCTGCTCCCGCTACTCTGAGGAGCAGTTCTGCTGTCCAGCCGAGATTTATTTGACTTCTCAAGTCTTAGCACTGAACTTCTTTTGCAGCCTTTTTATTCCTAGTATAACTGCTTCATGGCTTGGTCAAAAACTCTACCACAACTATTTACTGGAGGCATCTTCTTGAAGAGAATTGCAGTTCCTTCAGTTGGTTTGGCCTCCTGTTTTGTATGCACTTGGACAGTACACCTTCTCAGAGTGGAGACACTCAAGGCAAGACCAACTTTATGGGCAGATAACATTTGGGTGGCCTATCCTAAAAGGAAGAGGCTAGAGCTTTATAGATGTAGAAAAATTACTTTCAAGGTGTAGTGATAGGAAAGTCCAAGAAACCCTGTGTTTCCCTAGTTCATGTTATGTATTTATTAGCTACCTTCTTGTAAAGAGAGTAAATGGAAGGAGCCTTCACAGTTGAGCTCCTCCGCAGATTCTAGTGGCCTTGAAGGAGGCTCAGGGTAAGTATAAGAGCTTATGTTCCTCTCTTGAAAGACATTCAGTAGAAGATGTACAGCTCCAATTGTCATCACACACAAAAAATCACCTTTCCCTTTCAGCTAAAGAGATTTCAAATATGTTGTTAACTTATATTTGAAACTTGAGGTACAAAAGGCTTTTTCCCTTTGATTAATAAAAAGATGAAAATCCAAGCACTTAAATTGCTTGAATTGAAGTAAATTTTCACAGGCTTAGTTAAAATGCGAGTTCTTCTAAAGCGTGGGGTTTTTTTCTAAATTCATGCTGCTGTTGATCATTATAATTCAGTTTGAATTTTCTAACTGTTATATTTGCCAAGAAGGAAAAGTGCTGGAGGAAGTCAGCAAATGTAAAAGTATGGTGCCTGCTTCTGTGGGAATAAAAATGGGCATGCCCCAGAGAAGCATTGAAGGTTCCTTTTTTTTTTTTTCTTTTTTTGTCCTCCCTGCAATTTAATTCCATTTGCAAAGTTTTTTGCAGGTATGCAAGAAGTTTTACCTGTGTACTCTACTGTTCTAGACTTACTAGGTAAAATAACTGGCATTGATTTAGAAAATAAGATTCCTTTAGATTTTAAGACAGTGCTAACATCATAAATTAATTGGTTAGGACTCACTAACAGTGCATATGAGTCCAGTATTGAATAGGCTCCTTAAGTACGTTTGTTTTCAAAGAACATGTATTACTTAAGTTGTCATAGTACCATTGCATTTTAATCGTTGTGCAGACTTATTAACAGTGGAATGCTTATGTTTAGCCACCTCGCACATCTCATCCTGTGGTGAAATTTTCCTGTACTGACTGTGAGCCGATGGTAATTGACAAACTGCCTTTTGATAAATACGAGTTAGAACCTTCACCACTGACCCAGTTTATCTTGGAAAGAAAATCCCCTCAGACCTGCTGGCAGGCAAGTAGAGTGCATGCTGAATTGAAGTTATTTATGAAATGCAGTTTTTCATAGATCTTACTCTATAATTGAAATAAGATGTAAAATTTCAGCACACAATGCTTTGGATTTACGTGCAACATAATGTGTTTTATTGCAGGTATATGTGAGCAATAGTGCAAAATACAGTGAACTTGGTCATCCTTTTGGTTACTTGAAAGCTAGCACAGCTCTGAACTGTGTGAATTTATTTGTGATGCCTTACAATTATCCAGTCCTTCTTCCGCTGCTAGGTAAATACAACTTCATAAAAGTTTTCTTAGGTGGTAAGCAGTTGAAAACTTGATCTCATCTAAGGAGATTGCTGCAGTTAATGTGGGTATTAATCATACACCTGTAGAAAGGTAGCATGTTGAGCGATGTCATCAGTTACTTGTTTCACTTGTTATCAATTGGCTACTCTTCATGACTCAGACTCCATGTGAAATGATTTAATTAATCATTGTTCTTTCAAATATGTTTTGGTCTCACTTCTTTCATTATTTTAGGAGCCATTTTCCCCAATCTGTCTCAATTACAAATTCATTTTGATAAATAATTTATCAAGGTACATCTTTTGGCTGCAGCATTTATCTTGTGTGTATACTCAGTCGTATACATGTTCAAATATATATGCTAGCTTCAGCATTGAAGAATTCATTTCTTTGAGAGTTTCTTCTATTAGAAAAAATGATGCAATGCTGCCTAGACATGCCTTTAATTTTGTCTCTTCTTTTTATAACCATCAGATGACTTGTTTAAAGTACACAAGGCAAAGCCTACATTGAAATGGCGACAGTCATTTGAAAGCTATTTGAAGACAATGCCTCCTTATTATCTTGGGGTAAGATGACTTACTGTGTTACAACTTCTATTTTATCATGTAACTGTAGTTATCTTTCCACTATGGGTATATTCCCTATTTAAAGTAGAATATGCATTAATTTAAGAGAGAATAGCTAGACTTCATGCATAATGATACTTGCTGTTTTCACTGGAGTCCTGTGGAAGTCTCGAGACTTGAATGTTATGACAATTTCATCAGCTGTGACTCATATATAAAATATATTTCTGTTAACTGGTTCTGTATGAATGGAACAATGCTTTAAAACAATAACAAAAAATGCTTCCCTGAAAGTTCTTTGGTTTTCTTCTTTTCTAACTTAGTGGACCTCAGGTTCTGTTTGCAATGAATAAGTTAGTTGATGTATAAAACACTTGCAAAGTTAAATATGACTGTACAATGTATTCCATGTTTCAGCCTTTGAAGAAAGCTGTGAGAATGATGGGAGCACCAAACCTTATAGCTGACAATGTGGAATATGGACTTAGTTACAGTGTCATTTCCTATCTCAAAAAGTTGAGTCAGCAGGTAATGTTAAAGCAAAAGAGCAGTAAAAACTTATTCTAATATCAGGATGATTTTAAAATACTCAAGTTCAATGGCTTTGAGGGAAGAAAGAGCAGAAATATCAAGTTAATAACTTCCCATAAGCAGTTAGCAAACAAGCATTTTGGCTTTCAGAATTGAAGGAAAACGTAACATTTAAATAGACTTTTTAGTCTGGAGTATAAAGATACATATGGAGGTACAAATTGAGATTATTAATTTTTTTTGGTTTAGGAGCATTTTTGACTTGTACAGATGGTAACATACTTTTGTCCAAAAGAAAACATGTTGTCTTCGATGTTAAAGATGTTCTAACATTTTTTCAGAAAATAGATACTTGTACTTTGTGCATCTCAATCTGAAAATGTCTTTTTTTGGCTTGTGAAATTAAATGGAAAGCATTCAGTAAATGCAAACTGACAAAATTCAGATTCTCAAATAAGGATACAGATGTAGAAGTGGCAAGTGACCTTTTGAAATTGTTGACTGTGTTCAGAATAGTGCCCTTATCTTTGATTAGTCTCCTGCACCAGCTAAAGCATTTCTGCCCTGCTACCTCTGCTTTTATTTTGTTGAACTGTGCATGTTAAGCTTTCTTGTTCAAAATAATAAAATAATGCAGTAGGCTTGAAACTTCAAGAAACAGCAGTGCAAATACTTGTAATTTAGCTAATGAGTTCTTCTGGGCCAGCTTTTTCTTAAAGCATTAATATAAATGATTATTTGCAGCACCAAACCTCTTGAAGTTTATAGTGTATCCTATTAAATCATAGTCATACTGCTCAGTATTCTGTGAACTGATCTCTCAACGTGGGCATTTTATACTTTTATAATGTAATAGCATGCACTGAAAATTGTACTTAAAGCTTTTCTAACTTCAGAAAGGCACTGCCAGTAGCAACTCAGTATTCTTAAAAAGTAAAAATTCAAATTTTGAGTAGTCTATAAATTTATGTGCATCTGCAAAACCAACATTGGCAGGTGTATTACTAAATTACTTTTGGGTCTTTGTTCAACTGCATTTTGCCAAAAATCTGGCATTTATGAACATGTTTAATTTTGGTGCAAATCTCAGATGATCTTAGGGGTTAGGTCTTTGTAATCAAAGAGAATATGGTATTATTGTGCATTTCATATTTATTAACGTTATGTCTATTTGTACTGAGGGTTTAAAAAGATGATGCCATTGTGTGACTGATCGCAACTATAGTTGTGGGAGAATCAGTCTTTGGAGAGTTACAGTGTTTAGCTGTTACTGTAGAAAACAGTATATTAGAGTACAGAGAGATTTGCAGAGAATTACTAGTCAAATTATGGCATTTTATGAAAATAAAAGCATTGCATGCATATTGGTGCTTAGATACCATAAAGGGCAGCAGAGAAGAAATATGCAGAAGACCTAGGCACAAACTGTTCACTATATTTAAAATTGTAGTAAGCATTAAGTGGTTATGTATTAAGCACTCCTTAAGCACTTATCCTGGTTATAGTCGTCATAGTTTATTAGCACATTGTTGAATCTTCTAGGTAGGAATTTAAAATGAATAAGTCTGACTAATCCTTTTAAGAGCATATTGTCAATTTTATTTATTTATTTATTTCAAATTAAGGCCAAAATAGAGTCCGATAGAGTCATTGGCTCTGTAGGCAAAAAGGTAGCGCAAGAGACTGGAATTAAGGTCAGAAGCAGATCACACAACCTGTCTATGGCACATAGGAACGATTTTCAACATCTGCTACAGGGGATTACTGGGGAAATTCCTCATAGACCTCTAGACTTCAATATGAAGGAGTATGCTGGGTTCCAAATAGCTTTGCTGAATAAGGTAAGCACCACTGTGTGTAATGTTGTTATTTTCAATATACTTCCATTGAAATGCTAGATATTATTTCATACATGGTATTAATTGGAACTTTATTTACTGGAACCATAGGATTTGAAACCTCAGACTTTTAGAAATGCTTATGACATACCCAGAAGAAATCTTTTGGATCAGTTAACACGAATGAGATCTAATTTACTGAAGAGTACTCGCAAGTTCCTCAAAGGACAAGATGAAGGTTAGATAATTTACTTTTTGTCTACCTGTGATATGATTGGTGCTAAAACAAAATGGAGACAGTAATAAATAGCATAGTGCTTTAAAACTTAGTGGATGTCTGATACTGCCATTAAACTGCATGGGTATTTTAGACTTTTTTTTTTTTTCCTTAAATAACTTACTGGAAGAAAAAATGGTGAGGGGAGGGAAGATTGCAGATTCGCTGCTCTGTCCTTTGGTCTGTATGAGGACGTTTGGGCTTTCACATACGATTTTGTTCGCTGCTTTTTCCAACTTCCATGAGTATCTGAGGAAAACAGTGACAGGGCAGTTCTGAACATTACAATCTTTCTCCATAAAAGTGGATTGTGAGCAGTGAAAAGTAAGCTTGCTCACTGGGTGCTGCCAGTGTGATCATTTTGCCCTTCAGGCCAACAGCAAATAGTTCAGTAGTCTGCTAATTTATTCCTTTACCTTTCTACCATGTCTTTTGGCAGTACCTTATGGCATCTAGCAAAAGATGATGAAATAAGCAGAGAAAATGAGAAGGGCAATGCAAGTGAAAGGCATTTGTATGCTACATTAGTTCTGCCACTACTGAGGTCAGATTAACATCTGTGATCAAGTGATAATGTAATGTGACATGCAGAGAAGTTGCTCTTTGGAGAGGGAGTTGAACCACGTAAAACCTAATGTTATTTTTTTCCTGCTATTTCTGTTAGTGTATGTTTTGCTCGATCAAAGGCTTGACAACTTTAATTCCATAACAAGTTTAGAATCAGGTCCTGTGAATTTTAAGAATTTGTTGATTTCAATGGCCAAAAATTTGGGAAAACGCCAGTCTCAATTACATTCTGGGTGGCTAAAATTGGGTAGAATTATGTCAAACCTGCATGTAGCGTGGCATTACTACTTTGCATTAATGTATCTTTTGTTTGTAGTAATGTTTTAGTTACAATTTGTTCCCAGTCTCAGTTTTTTCACCAATCTACCTTGTTGAAAAGTTATGGGACACATTGGAAAACTAGTATCTATGCATGACAACTATTGTTTATTTTCCTGTCATAATGATAAATATGCAAGACACAGATTCATTTAAGCAAGTTTCCTGCACTCAAACCATGATGTTATAAATACCTGTTAGGCAAGAATAATGGTGAGTGTTGCACATCTATTTTGTTAGTGCATTTGATAGAAGACTGAAAACTGGAGGTGTGAAGTGGATATAAACTAAATTGTCATAAGCTGAGCAGTATCATGTATTAATAAACTCTTCTGTTACGATAGATCAAGTTCACAGTGTACCTATAGCACAAATGGGAAACTACCAGGAGTATCTAAAACAGGTACCTTCTCCACTCCGAGAGCTTGATCCTGATCAACCACGAAGGCTTCATACATTTGGCAATCCATTCAAACTGGACAAAAAGGTGACTTTTCTGTAAAGCTTTGTAAAAATTGTGCTTGTGGGTGTATGTGTGCTTCTGATTTGACCATTGAAAGAGCAATATAGTGGAGAAACACTTTCAAGTATTTGGAAAAGTACTGCTTACAAGAGAGCGTCTTAGATGTTTTTCCATCCATAGTACCCTATGGAAGGCAGTCTTTATTGTAAACCCAGTATTATGCTTCTGAATTATAAATGAAATAAGTTTGTCACTGTAGTATAGCTAATACCTAATCATGTTTCCTTTACCAAGCTTCCCCCTTAAAAAGCTTCCAGTAACTCTGAAAGCATGAGCTCTCCCTTCTGTCCATATCTGTCTTGGACTTGACCTAATTGCCAATATCATTCAGAGCTGCTTTTTTAAATGCGTAAGTCATTTTGCAGTTACTGAAAAAGAAGCTTGACAGCCCACTCAATTGTCTTGGCAAACTGTTGGATAAGGGCCTTAAGCACATTGATGTGGTCCTGGAAGGATTTGATTGACATTTGAGAATGCAGTGCATAATGGTGTGTTGTACATGCTAAATAGCATCATAACGTCAAAGCATCTATTGTCTTTAATATGAAGAGGTTTTGGCATAAATTTTAAGAATTCTCATCAATTATAGGGAATGATGATAGATGAAGCGGATGAGTTTGTATCAGGGCCTCAAAATAAACATAAAAGACCTGGAGAACCAAATATGCAAGGGATTCCAAAACGACGACGTTGTATGTCACCCCTGCTCAGAGGTCGACCGCAAACTCCTCCGGTTGTGAATAATCACATCGGAGGAAAAGGGCCACCAACACCAATCACACAAGCACAGCCTGACCTTGTTAAACCTATTCCTGTTCACAAAAGTAAGTGAATCTTCTTCATCTTTAGAGAGTTTGCGTTTTAATTTATGCAAAAAACTTACGTAAAAATACCACTGGCTGACTTCCCAAATACGGCTATTTTATCCCTCATTTTTGAAAATGAAGTATTTATGCATCTAGGGATAATCACAGAAAGAGTTAAGATAATCTTTCAGACAGAAGTCTCTTTCATATGAACTTCCACTATAAACAAAGTGTTTCCTGTACTAAATGAGGAGACAATGTAAACAGTCAGAAGGGTGTTCTTCCTTTGCCTGAGAATTGAGATGCTCCAAAAGTATCACAACATGAACTTAATTTGAATTTTGCTGTAGCTTGATGAATTCATTTCCCTTAGAGTGGAGCTGAGGTGCTGTGTAACAATCTTGTTCACTGTTCAGCCTTAAAGTGAATTTTGTCAGTTCAGTGTAATAGGGAAAAACAAGCATGTCATAAAAGCACATTTTACAGGTGCTTTTTCTTTTGCTGATAGTCCATGTAGGAATTTCCATTTTCATATAAAGAATATACTTGTGATTTTTTTAAGCCATTAATTGCCAGGAGATTATAGAGATCTGCTCAGTGTTACAATTCAGAAACCTGTTTTCTTATGCCTGGCATGTACACTAAAGTATATAAGATGAAGCACAGTTTTACAAGAGTTTAATACTGAACTGATTCATCGACTTCTATCAGGTGATAAAGAATGTGAAACTGGCAAATGTATCTGTTTTTTTCAGCATCAGAAACAAATAATGAGGTTACAATGGATGATGTGGTTGAGAATCATGTTACAGATCCACTTTCATCAGATGTTTTCCCAAATACTGTGGATTCAGAGTTTTCAATGTCCTCTTCTTCGTTCAATTCATTGGATCGACCACCAGCTCATACAGAGGATGTAGGCCATGAACATTTAGCGAATAACTTGAATGTCGATGGGTTTTTGGAGAATCATGAGGAATCAAGTAGTAAAGAACAAAGTACCGAAGAGAACTTGCCAATGTCTTCACCCAGCAAAGGGAAAAAAACAGTGCATTGCAGGAGTTCCAGAGAGATTAATATAGAGCTAAGAGCACAAATTATGAAAGAGATCCGAAAACCAGGAAGAAGTAAGTATACTAAATCTTTCTTTCAGATGATTAGCATGAGAGATAGACGAAGAATTCATATTAGATCACTATTTTGGAAACGTATTGAGCCATGAAACTGGAGCAAAATAAATTTAAAGCTGAAAAGATTTGTTTTGGAACCTCCGTTGTAAGCTTCCTGGATAAGTGATTAAAACATTGCTCTACCTGTCAGTGTTTGAAAATCATGGTTTTTTGTATTATTGGTATTGAAGTGACCTTGCTAGTGTTCCAGTAATATTCTAACTGCAGTATTCTATGCTTTTTAATGTTAGTGTTTATTAAATAGTATGTTATTGCTAGAGGCCTGGTTGATAGGTTATATATCCCTAAAGCTTTCAAAAGCTAAATTAAATCTGTTGCATTTCACTTAGATCTATGGTAACTGATATCTGTATAGGCATTTAAGTAACTGTGATTTTGCTCTTCTCTTTAAGAATATGAAAGAATCTTCTTTTTACTGAAGCATGTACAAGGAAGCTTACAAACCCGACTGATATTTTTACAAAATATTATTAAAGAAGCTTCCAGGTAGGTAATGGAATTGTATTAATCTTCTAAAACTGCACCATGTACTGCCATACATAACTGCTTGGCAGCCATGGAGTTCTTCATTTGAAACTTGCCACACAGTGCTTTACACTGCGAGTAGTTCCCTAGGAAATGAACAGAAACACACAAACTTCCTGATGCATGTAGTTTGCACAAGCTTACCTTTTTGCATCAGATTTTGTCTTAATGGTAGCAGCTGTAACTGCCAAAATTGTAACTGCAGAAATGTAGACATGGACAATGACATAGAAAGAGAAGTTAGCTATAGGAAATGCTTCAGGTTCAGAAGTTCAGATGTGAGCATACTGCTAATTTGAAAAACTGATGGAACTGCATATTACTATGAATTAGGCTTCCAGAAACAGTTGAAATTCAATATTCTGGATCAACTCAAAATCTTGTCCTAAAAACAATTTTGAGATCCAGGTATGTTCCATAAAGCTATGTTTCTGGTCTTCAGACAGTGCATTTCCTTGAGAGGCCTGTCTGAGGCTCTGGAAATGGGAGGTAGTTTGTCACTGGAGTTGAGAGACTTGCTTAGGATTTAAACCCCATGTTGTTAATCCAGGTAGAAACTGTTCCTTACAGCATCCTTAGACTGACCATACTTGCTCGGCCTTCTAGAGGAAAGAAAGGAGAAATGTGTAGTTATGATTGGAACCCATGGTGTGTTTGAGTTGAAGTGAACTAATAATTCCAACATCTTGCTTGGATCATAAATATAACTGTAACTTTGAGGCTTATTTCAGAAAGCCATGCAGGTCATAGCCTTTATATTATACATGCTTCCTCACTGTCTCAGGACACCAAAACAATGTTGTTTCTTCTGGAGTCTGCGACAGCCCTTAATGGGGTTGGAATGTTTATGCCTCTAAAGTTAGGCTCTTTAGATAATCTGTAATTCTTATCTCATTGCACAGCCTCTCTATTCCAGTTATCTTGAGTAGAATCCCTACAAAATTTGGCAGCAGTTGAGCGTTGCATCAGAATTAAATCCTACCTCCCACCATATCCAACAGTTTACTGTATCTACTGGTGGAAAAGGCTGGCAATTCTGTTTCTGTTGAGTGTTGTTAAACTTTAATTCTTATTGGCTGGAGTGCAGGAACAGCTTTATCTCTCCTTCTTTTTCTCTCTTAGGTTAGATTTTTATAGTGTGGTTATTTTATCCAACTGAATAACACCACTTACAATCCCTGTGCAGTTCTCTGCTCCTTTCCTTATCCAGGCAAGCCTGTTTAACCAAGGTTGCCTGGTCCCTGCAGAAAACATCTCTAGTCTCTCCAGAGTTGTCAAAGTCTTGTTTTGTTAACTGATACCTGACCTTTGCAATGCAATTCAAATTTGGGATGTCTGCTCTCCTTCCCTACTCCAAGGAGCCCTAAGCTCTTAAGCATTTCAGCAACAAAATGTGTGTTTAAAAACAGTCCGTGTTCAATTCTGCAGGTTAGTTCACAAGAGAGTTGTGAAGGGAGAGGAAAATTTCTAGAACAATCTGCAGTTTTCAGCTTCCTTTGGAAACTGAGTGCCTCAGTTCCTCTTCTGATAGCAGAAAAGCTATCACTTTTGAGAGGCAGAAATCAACATGAGGTAGATAATGGATTTTTATTTTTTTCCAGTCTCCCATTTCTTCAATTGTAAAAATATTAAGGCTGAAGAGATACCACATCTCAATTTCAAATCCTTCGCTAGTCTGAGAAAGACTTTTCCTATTCTTAATGACATACATTTGGCTCAGTGCTTATAAGGAGTCCTTACTGAACACGAGAGGCATGTCTTACCAATAGATGGCTGTAACTTTGGAAAATGAAGAGCTGTTTAGGAATGGGCTAAAAGGAATTAGCCTAGGTAGTGGAGAGGTCTTCAGTATTTCTGCAGTTGGCATAGCAATCCATTTATAGTCCTAGCACTAAGAATAAGTTTCTTCTTTTATTCTCTCCTTAGCAGTATAGAGCAAAATCTGGCAAAACACACATTAACATTCCTCAAATCAAGCAACTTCTCATTATAAGAAATTCAGTTCACCTTTAGTTATTCTTCAAATTAAGAGCTTTAAGTTAACAATACACATAGCAAAGATCGAAGTGTGTACCTAGACAAATTGCTGAGCAATACCCACTTGTGATAAAGTGCTAGCAAGAATTCATACAACCACTTTCAAAATAATAATGAAGCTTTAAGTTCAATAGCTAGAACTACTCAAGGAAGTTCTATTATTAAGGGTACTAATATTCCTAGTAGAGTGAACAGTTGAATTGCAGTCAGTGCTTAATTATGTTAATGATAATATTTTATGTGTTAAGCTGTTTCTACTGCCTTGAAAAAGAATTGTTTGCTATAGGGTTCAGCATTTGGAAAGGAACTTTCAGTGAGATGTACTGAAGGGCACTGTAAACCTGAATTCTTGTGCCAGCAGTAAGGTGAGAACAGTTAGCAATGTGTTTTCTCTCCACCTTCCATCAGGTTTTAAGTTTGTAGGAATTATCTGCTGCTAACTTGTACAGCTGCTTAAGAGGGGCTTGAAGGTATTCTGGAAAGTAACATTGCCTGATCACTTGCACAGAATATAGGCATGCTAAATTTTCACTAGGTTGGGTTTCCCCCCCCCCCCCCCCGGTTTTTTTTTGGTGTGGGTTCCCCCCCCCCCCCAGGTTTTTTTGTTTAATTTTCACTAGGTTTTCTTTCTTAACAGCACTGCTGTTAGCTTAAGACTTTTACTAGAGGGAATAAGAAGGAATAACTGTCTCTTTCCCAGGTTAATACTTTTCAGTAAGCAGGGAGCAGTTGTGAAAGCAGTGAGGAAGAATGGAGGGGAAGCAGTAATGAAAGTGTGGGGTTTCTGTGGGGTTACTGAGGAGAACTGTGATGAGAAATATGGGAAAGGGCTCAGAGCACAGGTATTCATGAGATAGTAAGTAGCTGGGAATGGGACTTTCAATGGGAATTGGGACTATTTCCCAATAGTCAAGCTGGGATTGTGGGGAGGTCTGTAGTCTGGGAATCAGGGGCAGATGCCATGGAGTGGGAGGCCTGGCTAGGACTAGAGGGTTTTGCTGGGGTTTAGAAAGGTCACAGGGCTGAACTCGGTGTGTTGTTCAGAATAGTACTGAGTTGAGAAAGTGGCACAGAAATGTTTCAAGGGAGGGGAGGGCCAGCTGGAAACAGCAAGGAGCTGTGTGTGCCAGGGCAGGGGTGTAAGCAAAGGTGACAAAATGGTCTGCTTTTCCAATTCATGTAATTGGTACGGAATAGAACTGCAGAGACTGCAGGCTTGGATTATATCTGTGTTTTCTTTCATTTCTTTCTCAAACTTCTTATTTGTATTTTCTTGACAAGAAATCTGCTCTGTATTGTGTAATGGCCATTCCTTCAGGAGTACCATCTTCACTTAACTTTTGCAAATGCACCATGAAGGCATGCAAATAATCCCTAAAAATTCTTGCCAGCTTTAGTTTTCCAGTTCTTTTGACATGTTTTTTATTCCTGTACGTCAGAACTTCTAGAAACAACAAACCCTTGACTCTCTTTTTCCTGACTTTCTTAGGGCTGAGTGGTGTTCAGCAACATGATAGAATAGCCTGTAGTAAGCATGGTTTTGTATTAAATGGAAAAGCAAGTTAGGAGTTTACCAGAACTTTAGGAGACAGCATATATAGAGGTATATATAACCTCAGCATGCACTGGACCTAAAAAAACAACTGAAGTATCCAGGGTTCACTAAAAGCTTTGTGAGTGATGTTTCATGTGTTACTGTGTGCTGCATCTGTTATTATGCTTTCTTTTAAATACAGGTTTAAAAAACGAATGCTGATAGAACAGCTTGAGAGTTTTCTGGAAGAAATCCATCGCAGATCCAATCAGGTCAACCATATCAACAGCAGCTAGGAAATACTGCACACAAGAGAAAGCCACAGTAGGGCTCTGCTGTCCCTACTTGCATTCATTTTTGACATGCACTCTTATCTCAAGTTCCTGTACCTGAAAGAATGAGAAGCTGCTCTATAAAATGATGAGAATAGTATCCATCATCTTTTTTCTTCACTTCTGTTATTTTTGTAATGTGAAAAATATTACAAAAACATTCTTATTTAACTAAATGGAGAACTTCTTGCTTGTCATGGACTTAAGTGTCACTTTCCCTCAGGTTCTATTTTTCTTAATCCAACCTTCAAAACTATCACCTCTTAAGGTTGAACTTTGCCAAAAAGTTGCTTTGTAATTTTCAAAAAAAAAAAAAGGAAAAAAAAAAGCACATACATTAAACAAGGTAATGTTTTGTATATACAGTTATTTTGGATATATTATTGTAAGTTGTATAAATGTATTTTGAAAAATATTTAAGAAAAGCACTTTTGTTATTCCATCAATAAAAGCTCTATTTTAATCTTTGTGTAGGATTGAGTACAGTTTTTATTGGAATGGTTCATTTTGCCCTCTCTTTCTAGAGCTTGTATATTCTAGTATCAGTGTTAAAGAATGAAGAGCAATTTTGTATCACTGGGTATTCTGTTGGTAATCAGAGAGCGAGTGAAAGGACTCTAAGCCTGAATTGCAGCTACGGTAGGATGATACCTTGTGTACTTCACTCTTAGGTGACTTTGGCATAACAAACTGATATCCCATTGCACATCTGCAGCAATGATAAACCCCGCAGTTTTATGAGGATACAATGTGGTAAAGCACACATCAGTAGCCTTTGAGGAATGCTTCACGGAGTTTTTCTGTGTCGGAAGTTTTTACATGCTTACAATGCAGGAACAGCCAGAAGGTTCAGCTCCTTGGACACAAAATATCACCTTATTGGCCACATTCTTCATCTGTACTAGGTGCTCTATGACTTCTGGGAAGTTTGCTGTGATTCAGTAGGAGCAGATCCCCTCTCATGCTTCTCCTAGGAATCAGTGGTTTGCCGTCTTCACCCAAAAATCTTTATGGGCCTAGGTTTATGTTGTTTGTGCCATGAGTTGCTGAATCTTGTACTAAAACACTCAATGTATCCCCATTTTTGTCAGGATACTGAAAAAAACCATTTTTCTAGACGCTTTTAGCGTCATTCAGTGTTCTTTAGGAATGTCCATTCTGTGCTGTATTCTCTTTAAAAAGTAAAATAAAAGGTAGCAAATGTAGTACCTTTTTTGGTAATAATATTTATTTGGTCATGGATTTGAATAGGTATTTCTGCTTCCTACCTGTTCTGTCAGTCTTGAAACAGACCCTGGACTTGATTTCCTTTTCATAGCAGTTTGCTATTTGCTGGTAACCTTACTGTCTTAGCTGATTATTAGCTGAGTCTGGGACCAGGCTTTAATTTAAATTTTATTCTTAAGTTTTTTACTTTAGGACAGGGAAATAAAATCTGTTTATTCTTGCAAAAATGATAATTTTTAAACCAGTGTTTTAGTAAATACGTATAATGTAGCCTTTAATTTCATTGAAGGGAAGCTCACCATATGAGGAACAGAAGACAGTATATTTGCCTAGGGTTTATTGTGACGGATTTGTAACTCTTCCTATAAACAGCACTGAACCTGTAAATGAAAACCATATTAACATTATTTCAGTTTGGGACCACATTTTCAAAGTGTAGTACAGTTTAAATACATAAATTAAGCATGGAACTAGCAGATTTGTGGTCATACATTCCTTGTATGGAAAAATCAACTGCAGTTGATGCTTGCCTTAGAATGATTTGAACAAATACTGGTAGCCCAAATCAGAAATTTGCCAAAACCGTGCAACTTACTCAAACCATTGGCTAAGGAATTGCTTCTGAACTGAGCAAACCTGCCTAATTTCATTCCATTCTGTTGAGACTGTAGTTTCAGAAGAGGTTATTACAACCCCTTGAACGAAATCACTGCTTCAGATTCATTGCATCTGTGGTTCAGTTGCTTGTATTGCTCTTACTTTGCCTATCCTTCAAAAGAAACGTGTTCAAACCCCAAATTCAGATTAAAAACCCCCAACATTTATTATTTCAGGCAGAACTATGCTATTTTAGGTCTTAGGAAATACATTTCTGCTACTTCTAGAAGACTGATGCAGTGAAGATTTTTGGTCTACATAAAGATTCATTGTTAACTTTATGGGGATAATAAGTTTTAAGTACCTCTAGTTAGGTTAATAAAATGCATTACAAGCAGATCTTATTTACCCTTTCCCCTTTTCATATCCAAACAACTTCAGTCGCTAAGTCTGAACAAATAAAATGACTGAATGTTTTCAGTTTTCTCTTTTTGCATTAAAAAGCTTAAATATCAGAAATGTACTTCTGATTTTGGGTTGATTGGAAGTTATATATTTTGTTATGCATCATATAAAAATCCTATTTTACAATCTGATTTCCTTTATATATATATATAAAAAATATACTGTAAACTCAGCAATTTTATTAATTGAAATCAGTTTGTTCTTAATGCTGAAGAATCTGTGGCTTTGGTTTCATAGATTAGCTTTTAGTGCCTTTTTTTAAAAATTCTGTATTTGCCAAGTAAAAGTACTTTTATTCATTGAATGACAATGATCACCAGAAGCATATTTAAAACACCAAAGTAGTGCCTTTTGATTACCTAAATGCTTGTGAGGATGTTAAGGCGTGAAGGGTCCAGATGTGTAAAACTATCTCCTCAAAGCTGTTGATTTTCAAAATACGATGGAAGAGAAACTTGCTTCTGCATATTGTGAGCTGTAGCTACGCAAAAGATTGCTGGTCTTCAGAATTTCTGAGTTATTCCCCTAGAAACTGCTAAGGTAGGAATTAATATAGGGACTTGCAGGTCTTGGTGCCTACAGGCAGAAGTCTGTTTGTGCCATCTGTGTATGCATGAATAAGTTTCATTTATAGGAAGGGATTACTTTCTTAACTTCTTCACATATTAATCCAGCTGATCTAGCCCATTTGTAATTTGAATTGCTCTATGGAGGTCAGTCCCTAATCCTATGGTGTTTAATCACAGAATCAGCTATGTTGGAAAAGGCCTTTAAGATCATCAAGTCCAACCTTTACCCCAGGACTGCCAAGTCCACCACTAAACCATTTCACTAAGGGCCTCAATGCATTTATTGAATGCTTCTAGGAACCGTGATTCCATCATTTCCCTGGACAGCCTGTTCCAATGCCTGATCACCCTCTCGGTGAAGAAGTTTTTTCCGAATATCCAATCTAAACCTCCCCTGGCACAACTTGAGGCCATTACCTCTCGTCCTGTTGCTTGTTACATCTCACTACAACCTCCTTTCAGGTAGTTGTAGAGAGCAATAAGGTCCCCCTGAGCCTTCTCATTTCCAGACTAAACAACCCCAGTTCCCTCAGCCATTCCTCATGAGATTTGTGCTCTAGACCCTTCACGAGCTTTGTTGCTCTTCTCTGGACCCACTGCAGCAACTCAAGATCTGTAAGATCTTTCTAGAGCTTGTATTTGTAGTAAAAAAACCTTATTTAGTATGTACCATGTATAGATGAGAGAGGCTAACCTGGCTTCACTGACTTCTGTGACTATCATGCGTTCTTTTTAAACTGTGTTCTTTATGCTTTAAAAGTCCTAAAGCTACTGTTTCCATAGTTGTTGAAATTTCCTGGACTGAAATTGGTGTGCTATTTACAAAGAACTTGTTAATTTATTTTGGTGCTACTCATGAAGGATTCTGCTACTTAAACACAGAGCATGCATACCTGTATTAGCTTCTCTCAGGAAAAATGTGAAAGCTCTGTCTGCCTTGAAAATAGGCGTTCGAGATCTTTTTAGTAACACCATTGCTGAAATGCAACAGAGAAAACATTAGTAAAATGTGTCTATTTTCTTTCCATCTTCTGTACAGTGCCCTCAAGCTCTGATGTTTAGTACTTTGAGTTTTGCTCCTCTGCTTTAAGAATAAAACCACAATTTTATCCAATGGTGAAACTGGTCTGGATGAATGATCAAGTTAAGCCTTGTGAGACAACATGCAGGTGATTTGCGTGTGTTTTGTTGCTGCAGTAAACCTATCTGGCTTTGGATTTCAGAGGTAATTTTTGCTGTTACCACAGCCCTAACTCACACTGAAGTCATACCATGCCATTGCTTAGCCTGTGAGCTGATTCCTAGCCTTGCTGTTCTGGTAAAAAACAAGGGACAAATGTAGTCCCTTTTCTAAATGGAAGACAAACAGCAGAGAATTATCTACATTTACCTGGAATTTCTCTCCCAGAGCTCTCAACAGAACCTAAGTATCCTTGGTCTGAATTTATGACTGTCTTTCCCCCCTCTGTTTGTAGGTTAATTATTATTATTAAAATACTTCCTGTTTAAATTCTTCCTTGTATACCTATATAGTATTAAGAACACATTGTCAAAAAACAAACTAACCTAAACCCCCCAGATTTGGATTATTTTTCAATAAGCCATTAGAACAATGAAATTCAATTGAAAATTCAAGTCAGAGTCGAAACAGTTTGAGTGGCACTGTTTCAGTGCTCCTAAAAAAAGTGCTTGCTTTAGTTTTCAAGACAATCTGGATCTCCAGAGCTTTTGAAGTAAATAATAAACATAATTACACCTTTTAAAATCAGCTCCTTATCTTGGTCTGACTGGAGTTAAGTGAAGTTTGGCATTGGTTTCAATGGGATTAAGGTTTGATGTCTGTCTGCTATTCCCTTAGTCTTTGATACATAATCAAAACCACGTAAAAGCTTTTGTTTTGTATGGGAATTACCAGAAAAATATACTAAAATTATTGATGCCCAGTAGAAGTGAAAATTGTCATAAAATTTAAAACTGTACAGCTCTGCAGAAAGGTTGATTTAGCTATGTTAAATTTTCACTGTCCACCTACATATGTACAGCATGTGTCTTATGCAAAGTTGCTGTAGCTGGAAGAATACTACACCAGATTGGGTGTACTCAGGTTCATTCTGCCACTGTGACTGTAGGATGTCTGCAGAGAGGGGAGGTGCAACTCACAGAGCACCCAATGTCATGAGCACCACAGTGAGATGCATTGCAATGCTCTTCCTACTTGCCCCTTGGATTTCTTCCTGAAAGCAAGGAAAAGAAAAGGGAAAGACCCAGCTCTCTTGCCCTGATCTGCAGTCAAGGACCACCACCATTCGCAATGTGCATGTGGAGCACATCTGCAGTTGGCACAGACCAGGGAAGCGGAAAGGAGAGATGTCATTAACTATCACCCTTCTGCTGTGCTGGTGTTTGAACAGCTTGAGAACATGTTCAGCCTCTCAAGAGAAGCAAGCAAGCAGCAGTAATGCCTGTGTAAATTACACAGGGTCTAGGGCTGCCATTGCCTTTCACACTGACTTGCAGCAGATCTGGAACATCTGAGACTTCCAAAAGGGAAACAAAAAAGTAGGAGATCTTCGTTGATAAGGCTCATGTGACCAAAAAGTGAAGAAAAATGGGGATTGCACAGCTCAGTAGTTTTAGTTTTATGTAAATTATGATGAATTTCTGTTGAGATGCTATTCAGCTTGTGAGAGTCATGTATTGACTCTGTAGTCCATAGCTGAGATTTTACTCTGAATTTCCCCACTCAGCCAGCCCCAGCTGCTCATGTGGAAACAAGCTGTTAGCAAAAGCTACTGTACACGAAGGTCACTCTGTGAAGTGTGTAAGAGAGAAGCCTGCCTTCAAGGAGACAAAACTTTCCCATCATTGCCTTTACCTTTAATGCTGTCAAAGAGATCATCTTCAAAAAACAAACCCTGTAACGGTTCAGGAGCTGTAGATAAAATGTTAGTAACCTTTCTTCATTCTTTGCTTTTACGATCTGAGCAAACAGATTTAACCTACAGAAAAATAAGTGGTTTATTTTCTCAAACTGGATTTTTTGTGGGCTGGTAAAGCTGGATTTCGCTTGAGTCTTTAGTGTTGGTCTGAGATCACATATTAAAGAGTTCTTATGAGCAATTACAAAGGCAAAATGGAAGCGTGTTAAATATAAAAGTTTAAATTTAGGTAGGAATACATTTAAATGCTACTATGCCTTAATAAATCAATAAATAAAGACTAGTAGTTGTTTCCATAGTAATAAGCTCCAGAAGTGAGTAGTACAGTCTGTATAGTTGACTTACCTGTAGCTCCTGATGCCTTTGTACCATCTTCTGTTATTTCAATCTCTGCTTTGTGAATAGCTTCTGAAATATAAAGATCATCTTGCTCTGCAGGAAAAAAAGACAACCCCAGAACAAAAAACCCCAAAAAAACGAAACCCAAAAAGCAAACAAACAAAAACCAAAACAAAACACCCAAACCCAGAAATGGGTATTGTTAGTTATTTTCTGAATTTTAGTGCAAACACATTCATTTAAGTAAATAAATTTAATTTAATTTGTCACTGGAACAGGCTGCCCAAGGACGCTGTGGCTGTCCCATCCCTGGCAGTGTTCAAGGCCAGGTTGGATGGGGCTTTGAGCGACCTGATCTAGTAGAAGATGTCCCTGCCCATGGCAGGGGGGGTTGGAACTAGATGATCTTAAGGTCCTTTCTAACCCAAACCAGTCTGAGATTCTGTGATTCTATTTATTAAAAATCAGAATGCTGTTACCTTCTTTTTCTGCAGAATCTAAGGATCACATAACTCTTAGGTATTTCAGCCAGGAAACTAATTCAATGGCTGAACCAGAACTTCCCTAATGGTTGGCCAAGCCAAAGGATTCCAGTCCCTTGGCATTTAGCTGGAACAGCAGTAACTGCATTGTAACCTGATGGTGCTGGACAGATAGTGTAAAAAGTAGAACAGTTGAGTGTGAATTGTGATTTAGAGTTTCATGGAAGAAGTAGTACAATCAGTTCAGAAGGCTCAGGTCTACTGGATCATTCAATATAAGAGTGTACAACTATGGGGTCAGCGATCATTTTTTATTTAGTCAAGCCTCTTACCTGAAATGCCTTTAAAATTAGCAGTGATGGGATCAAATGCATCTCTAATTCCCAAAGCAGAAAGAACTGTCTTTAGATCAAAAAGGCTTTGAATACTGAACCTGAAATTAATAGGGAGATTTTATTTAAACGCAGGATTTGCAGTTTCATAGAGCTAAAAGATGGAATAGATGCAGTTTATTTCAAGCTTTTACACTTCGTCTGTCTATTTCTGTATGAGCCCAATGCATTCTGTCTGATAAGTGTACTTTGCAGAAAAGCAAGTCATCTTAACCTGAAGACAATAACAGGAGGAATCCCTTGCCTTCATCTATTGCAATCAGACTGCCTCTCAGAGTTCTTGACACAGGAACTCTGCATTTCCCCAGGTGTCCTCTTTTTAACAATCTTCCCAGCTGTAGCACAGGGCCCTTTGAAACATTTGCCAAAGATTGGCTTGTAGGAAAAAATATATTAACGCACAAATTGTTTTTCAGCGCTTCATTAAGACGAGGCATGCATTGTGCGCTGTATAATGAAGCCCTTCCATGCTGATCCGTACAATAGGTACAGCCACAAAAGGCCCTCCTGCACCTGATGCCTCCTGCTATGCAATTTGATTTGAATAGATGATAGAAAATACTTCCAGGATATGTGCATTTGCTAGAAGCAGCAGCAAATGTCTAAGATGGAAAACTGATGGCTGACACTTGCTTTGTGCACAGAAAAATGGATGTGACTGGTGGAGGGCCCCCAGGTTCTTTGTGGAGTACTTTTGTAGTACACTAACAAGTTGTAAAAATAAGCTATTGTGTTTTCTTAAAGGTTATGTATTTATTCTTCCTTAAGCAAAGTGAAAAATGGAGTGTGGGAAAGAG